GTTTTTAACCCCCTTATCTCCCAAAATTATTAAATTGATACCCAAAATTATCAAAAAAATATTTCATCCCCTTCCTCCCCCCTCCTCCTCCTCATCCTCCTCACCCATTCCCCTCTCCTCCCCTCCTCCCCCCTCCAGTCCCTCTCCCCACCTCACTCTTCAACGAAGCCCCCCCTCCGACCGTACAACTCTGTCGTCTCGTCCTGCCTACGCGTCGGGCGCCTCGGCCTCGCCCTTTCCCGCAGGCTCTTCGACGTGATGCCGGAGATGAACGTGCTCACTTGGACCTACATGATCAATGACCTGAGTCTTTTGATAGATGCGCTCAATTGCCCGAGTCTGTTTCAGTCAGAGAATCCAAAAGACAGCCTGAGATTTGAATATGCAGGTTAACTCACTACACATGGGAAAATAAATGTTGATGTGCAAATTGTTTTGAATTGCCAACGTCAAACTTTGAACCTAATGCCTTCTCAAAACTAGTGCCATAAAATGTTCATGCACTAGTAAAAATTCACGTATCCTAGACGGAATATTCTAGACAGAAATTTTTCCGTCTAGAATGTATTAAACTAGACGGAAAATTTCCGTCTAGAATATTCCGTCTAGGATAAATTATTCTAGACGGAAATTTCCGTCTAGAATAGTATTCTAGACGGTTTTTTTATTTTTAATTTTTTTTAAAAAATCCTGATATTCTAGATGGAAATTTCCGTCTAGAATGTATCCTAGACGAAAATTTCTGTCTAGAATACGTGCCCATTTAAAAAAAAATTAACCCGTCAAAACCCCCGCTGCCCTGCATTCCCCCAAAAATCGAAATTTTCATCCCCAAAATCAAAACCCCCGCTGCCCTCCATTCCCCCCAAAAAATCCTCAACTCCAACACCTCCCCCCCCCCCCCCTCCTCTCCCTCTCCCTACTCAACCTCACCCCCGACCCCTCCCTCCCCCTCTACTCCCTCTCCCTCCACGGCCTCCACCACCTCTCCCGCCTCCTCTCCTCCTCACCGCACCCACCTGCCCCCCGTCTTGCTCGCCCGATTTCAAAACCGAGCCCAGAATCCCCTCCCTCTTCGGGCCCCTACCAAACGCCCAAAGCAAATTCAAACCAGAAGCGACATCAAAATCTTAAAGTAAAGGACCCAAAAGAAAACCCCAAAAAAAGGGCGAGGATGTCTATGTCAGATTCAACAATGGCGGTAATTTCTTGATTTTTCGTTTGCTTTGCTCGTGGAAAATTTTAAATTTCATTTGATTAAAGCTTATATTTTTTAAAGTGTAGATTTGACCATTGGATTGGAACTGGGTATATAATGATACACTTGCATCGTTCTTTTCAGACTTCTAAATTTTTGGATTCATGTGAAGTTGATTTATGTTTTCCAAGATATTGAGTTTTCTAAGCAAGAAAATAATCCAATAGGTGCCAAATATAAATCAAATGGATTAAGAGATTAACTTCATTGCAATATTTGTTTGCTTCTGGAGTTTCATATATCACCTTAATTTCCATATTTTTATACTACATCAGTTTTCGTTCCTTGCAAATTGACAGCCATGTAGGACTCATTATTTTAATAATTTAATTAATTCTTAAAATTCTGTATAATCCAACTTTGTTGTTTGAATATTTTCCTACCCTATACATCTGAGTGAATTCTGTAGTAGTGTTTCTGTTTCTGTCATATGCTTTATCCATTCTATCTAGGTTTCTTGAAGTGTCTGGCACCTGAACAGAGCCCCGGACTGAGGCCCGAAGTATGTTAAATATGATAAGCTATTTCGCAGTTTCTTTCTTGTTGAATACAACAATAACTGAAATTAGACTTATTTTGTAATCATTTTTTGTCATTGGCTTAAGAAATTAGCCTCAACTTTTAATCCACTTATTTAAAAACATATGGTCGTGCATGTGTGAAAAGGAGTATCTTTCGATCATCTCAAATGTGCCACCAGCCAGATGTTGCCTACAATAAGATTCTTTAGTTTTTTCACGGAATAATTCAAGTGTGGAAAGTTAGAATTGTTAATTACCGCATCTTTATATAGATTTTCGTATTGTTGCTGGGCTAGCATGGTAATCGTTCATATGAACTCATGCATGTGATGTTTGCAAATTCTATTAATTTGCACTCTAAATTTTTTTATTGACTTTATCCTCAATTATTTATCTGTAACAATCTTATATTTTGGGAGTATATTTTGTGGTATCTAATATAATGTGTCTGTTGTGTCTTCCATAGGAGAGAATACGCATTGGTAAAGAGCTTTTAGAAGCCAAACGAATGGAGGAAGAAAATGAAAGAAAACGGTTATACTCTGACTGCTTTTAAGTATTATGTTTATATTTTATGTTTTCCATACATTTGGTGTGTGTTGCACAGCTGTCTTTGGAATAATGAGTTATAAGTTTGTCTCTTTAATGTCTAGAATAATGGCACTGAGAAAGGCAGAGAAAGAGGAAGAGAAGAGGGCGAGAGAAAGAGAAGAGCTTTTACATATTCTTTATTGTTTGCCTCTTCAATTTGTATGTCTTTCATGTTTAATGTTAAATGTGTTACATATATAATAGGTTAGATAGAATGCATATATAATAGGTTAGACATATATAATAGGAATGTGCTGCGACTGTCAAGGTGCCATAGTAGAATACTTCTTGGTTTCGCATCTTTATTAACAAAGTATTGTTTGGGGCATAAAAGACTTTACACAATGATGAATACCCTTTATTTGCTTTGCTCTTTATTCAAATGAATACATAAGCTGGACTCCTGAATAAATGCCACAAGTGAAGAGTCCATTCCACCATTTGTATATTTTTACTGTCTAAATAGGTCTAGAAATCACATCCTTTTGGCATTACGGTGGTATTCCCTAAACGGGCGGGCAATTTCCTACATATCATGTGTCATTGTACTACTTGTGCATGTACTCAGTTAACTATGTCTTAACATGATTCTCTGCCATGTTCTAGAATGTCAATGAGGAAAGTACTAAAGTTAATGACCTTTCACTTGTCAAGGAAAGGTTTTTGCTAAATGAGACTTGATTATTGAGTTATAGGATAATAAAAAAACATGCAAGCTCTCCTCTAGAGACATTTTAAGTCATTAGTATAATGTTAATGATGTTGGCCATCCATCGTATATATAATGGACAGTTATAAAGCTTTCCACTCTCTTATCTCTTTTAACTTAGTCACTTCCTCCATTTCGTCACTTCCTCCATTTCGGTCCATATTAAAATAGAATCAGGCCTTTTTATACTGTTGTTTATTGTGCTATATCTTACTGCTATGAACAATCACACAAAAGAAAAAACACACCAAAACAAATGCATTATGCAAATGCAATTACTCTTTAATTTGTGATGCCACCGATGAATTGGTAGAGAAGCAATATTTTGTATTTGGAAAAAACAAAGTATATTGATCTCTTTTGCCATGCATGTCTGTCGAGTTTGCTAACGTGAATGATCTCTTTTGCAGGATCCACTGGTGACTAAAGGTGCAAACACTGCATATATGGATATTGAACTGGTGGGTGAATGCTTTGGGGTCCTCTCATCATTTGGCCAATTCTGAATGTGTTACGTAGGAAATTAATGATTGGAAGAATCATTGTTCGACTACTTAGTTTGAAGGTTTTTATGAGCTTTAGGGTTCAAATTGGTATTGTTTTTAGGAACTGTTGAGCAATCTAAATTTGTAAATAATTTATGTAAAAGTTTGTAAACAATTTATGTATCTCTAGTATTTTGGTAAATGTATTATTTGAATATAATTGGATTTGATATTATAATTTAATTAGATCTTGTTGGATATGAATTCAATCTAGTATTGTTCAATGTTGTGTACATGCACCAAAAGTAGGTTCGGCAAAAAAAAAAAAAACAACTGTAGCACAACATCATAGACGGAAATTCTGTCTAGGATGCTCAAATTCCGTCTAGGATGCTTTTTTTAAAAGAAAAAATTTAAAAAAAAATTAAAAACATCAATTTTCGTCTAGGATGAGTATTTTAGACGGAATTTCCGTCTAGAATACTCATCCTAGACGGAAATTTTTTCCGTCTAGAATACAGTATTCTAGACGAAAATCCCGTCTAGAATATTTCGTCTAGGATATATTCTAGACGGTTTTGAATTCCGTCTAGAATATTCCGTCTAGGATGTATTCTAGACGGAATTTCCGTCTAGAATACTACATTCTAGATGGAAACTTTCTAGACGGCTATTCTAGACGGAATTCCGTCTAGAATATACATCCTAGACGGAATTTTGAGTATTCTAGACGGAATTTTCCGTCTAGAATACCTTATTTTTTACTTGTGATGCAATCACACTAAAAGTTAGAAGTCGTGATGAGCAATGAAGGCCTTGTATTTAGCAGTTTGATAGAGCAATATTTAGAAGCATAGGCAGGACGAGACGACGGAGTTGTAGCAAGCAAGGTCGGCGGGGCGGGGGGCTTCGTGGAAGAACTAGAGGGCGAGGGAGAGGGAGCCGGAGGGATATTTTTTTGATAATTTTGGGTATCAATTTAATAATTTTGGGAGATAAGGGGGTTAAAAACAAATTTTCTCGCCGGAATTTTGAGAAATGAGTCTTATTGTCAAAAAGGCCGAGCTTTAATTGTCGCCGGATTTTTTTTAAATATCAAACTGGCAAAAATGTTTGTATAAATATACCAATTTGGTATTTTAGTCAATTTATTTGGGATGGGTATCTAACAGAATCAAGTATATTTCATTTTCATTAGTAAAAAAATCGAATACTATCAATAACGAATTAATTTGTTTGATTGTCGAATACTATTTGTGAACCTAAATGTGCATAAATTGGATGTAAGGTCATAAACATTTGTGAATCCGCAATTTCAATACCGGCGAAATACACAAAAGTTGAGATCGTACCGAATTGATGCGTGCGCTTGCGCCAAGGCCCAGGCCCAAATCAGAAAGTGCTATAAAAAGAAATGGTCCGGCCCATTTAACCATCCGCTATATATAACGAACAGCTCATTTCCTAGGGTTTAGTCGCGCCGCATCATTTCAGAGCTCTCGCCTTCCTCCTCTCTCGCGGAGACCACCAAACCCTAGGCGCCATGGTGAGAATCCCTTCAATTTCTTGATCTCTTCAATTTTCTTTAAACTTGTGGGTCTAACTTCGTTAGTTATCAACAGTCTCTCGTTGCGAACGAGGATTTTCAGCACATTCTTCGTGTTCTCAACACCAACGTCGATGGGAAGCAGAAGATCATGTTCGCGCTAACCTCGATCAAAGGTATCGGCCGGCGATTCGCCAACATCGTCTGCAAGAAAGCCGACGTCGACATGAACAAAAGGTATTTCCTTTGATCTAGTCATGAACAAAAGGGATTTCCTTTGATATAGTAAGTGTCTAGATTCATGAAAGTTTAAAACTTGAGCTATATTGTGATCTTTATTTGGCACTGAGCTTTGTCTGTTGGCTTTAAATTTTGTAATTTTTAGAGTAATGTGCGAAGAATTACGTCTGTTGAAGCCCAAAACGGAGCTATTCCAATGGATAAATTTCACACTCAGGGGTAGCCTGGTAATATCACCTGTTGGGTTAGAAAATTTAACAGACGGACGAGTTGGCAATAAAATTAATGATTTGAGGGACTTTTATAGATAAATTAAAGATGATTTAAGGGACTACTACGCAATTACCCTATATTTTTAATTTTGGATTTTTAGCAGTTTGAAAATTATTGCATATAATATTAAAATTATTGTGTTACGGGCTCTTATAAAGTATTGATTACTTGTTACATGCAATTGGTGAAGATGTGATGATTTCAGGTTCCACATAAATAATAGATACTTGCCTAATCAAGAACGATAGGGAATCATTTTGGATATGATTGAAATATGATTGAATGCCATAAAAGGATAGTTTGCAACAATATATGATAGTTATTTTGGATTTTAGTGTATTTCATTGGCTTCAGTAGTGGATTTGATGATGATTTACTTCGCCCAATTTGAATGCATTGTATGGATTTTTGGGTACATTGTGCTCTTCTGTTATCAGTTAGATCTTTCATAATGCTGTTTTTAGTTATTCTGATTGGGATTTTTTTTCTTCTATGACATCTATTTTATTTTATTTGTATAGAGCTGGGGAGCTCTCTGCTGCAGAGCTTGAAAATCTGATGACAATTGTGGCTAACCCCCGCCAGTTCAAGATTCCAGACTGGTTTCTGAACAGAAAGAAGGATTACAAGGATGGTAGGTACTCTCAGGTTGTTTCTAATGCATTGGACATGAAGCTCAGGGATGACCTGGAACGCTTGAAGAAGATCAGGTTGGTTATCCTTTTTAACCCTTTGCACATCTTGTTTTACTTTCGAATTTGTCTACTCTTATTGTCATTGTTTCTATCCTGAAGAATTGCAGTTAATCTTTTATATCTCTAGGATGCTGAAATCAAGTGTCGTCTAAAATTATTGATACTTCGTATCCCTTAAACATGTATGCCATTCATTTTGATTGCTTTTCTCTTGCTATGGCGCTCACATTTTTGCCCCTTAAGAGTTTACATTTTCCCTTTGTTTTTATTCATTGGTAAGTTTCTATTTCTGTGTACATTGCAGATCTAATGCTTTGACTTGGTTGATGAATACAAAACTTTGAATTTGATTTTCATCACCCGTGCATCCACTCTCTTGTTGGAAGAAAAACATCATAGATATCACTGAGCATGTAGGAAACAATTTGTAGCTATGTCCATTATTAAGTCGGTGTTATTGAAAGTGCTATATTTTTATAATGGAAACAATTGGCTCGTGAATTGACCTTTGACACAAAATATCTTATTCATTATACACTTTGTATTATTTACTTATTATTCTTATACAGAGTATGTGAAGGACAAATTTTCAAAACCAACCTGTTTTGAATCTTAATCTCAAAAAAGACCCGTTTCAAACTTAATTTCAAAAAACTGACTCAGTTGGCTGAAATTGGGTCGGTTTTTTTAAAAAAAGTTCCCAAACTTCACGGGAGTTGAAGTCCCGTGAAGTTTTTACGTAGCAAAACTTCACGGGACTTCAACTCCTGTGAAGTTTGGGAACTTTTTTTTTAAAAACCGGCCCAGTTTCAGTCCAACTGGGTCGGTTTTTGAAAATAAGTTTGAAACGGGTCGGTTTTTGAAATTAAGTTTGAAACGGGTCGGTTTTTGGGATTTTTTGGCAAAGAAGTCTATTTTGAAAATTTGTCCATGTGAAGAATATGTCACATAGGATGCTTAGTTTATAAATAATTATAAATATTACCTGCTGTATGCATGAAGTAGTGGTTGAATTGATAGATTGTGCACAATTTGTTACAACTTGCTGTAAATAGACAAATGGTTGGTAGCTCATCATGTAGTCTCAATCAGAAATTGGCTGCGAAAGATGGGTTTTGAAGTTGATCCGGCACAATTCTGATTGCAGCAATTAGATTGCATATTAATGCTCCGGAACTTGTAACAAACAAGTTGCTTGTGTTATTTTCCTGGCACATGAACTTTATCATGTTCCCATTGTGGTCTGGTTTATGTCTTTCAGGCACTAAAAAGAACAAATTCTATTGTTTAATATGAATTTTTTTATCAACATGTTTCCTAATAACCTGTGGTTCTTATTATTTAATTGTGTGTGGAGTATGATCAATCATCATTAAATTTATTAACATTTGTGATTTTTTAATGCTTGCTCCCCAAAACGGAAAGAATCTTCAAAATCTTGTTTTGTTGAAATTTTCTAATGCCTGATGCGTTCTCTGCAGGAACCACCGTGGACTGAGGCACTACTGGGGCCTCCGAGTCAGAGGACAGCACACTAAGACCACTGGCAGGCGAGGAAAGACTGTTGGTGTCTCTAAGAAGCGTTGAACTCTTGAGCTGCATCTGGTTGTATTTTCCTACTGTTGGAAGTTCATTTAGATACTATGTTTAGCTCGACTTATTTGTGAGGGTAATATCTAGTTTTTTGGCGACAATTTTGGTTATCTGTTGAACTGTTTGGAAGCTATTTCCCCTTGATTGGTACTTTGTATGGAATGGTTTCTTCAGCTTGAGTTCATATATGCGAAGTTAATTTGCTTTTAAGCTGCTATAATATTGCGGTCTTTTTCTTTCTTTCTATTTCTATTTTTTGGTCGGTCAATATTGCTGTCTTTCGGCTTCGTGAAGCGAGCTCTCCAGTATTTTTGGGCGTTTTTTGTTTACGAAAGCTATTGCTATTTTATTTCTATGAAAAAATGTCCTCTCTTTACTGACTATATGCTCAAATTTTGAATTAAATTGCAGCTATGTAAGACTTGCTCGAAATGCTGATGTTGTAAGTATAAACATGCCGTTTAATACTTGCATTACATTCTGTATTTTTCAGCTGCCTTGTGTTGTTAATCCATGATCTAATAGTACATACCAAGATTGAAAAAGTAGTAGGTTGTTTTTTTTCACGCGGCTTATATTTTTAGTCCATATTCAGAAGTTGCAATACTTGCTTCAAAGAGTTAATCAGAAATTATCGGATTTGTTTGTGGATCGGCTTCAATACTTTCTGTAAGTGAATAGGAGGGTTTATGTTCATAATTATCTTGCGGTCTAAGTAAACGTATTCGGATCCTCAGATTAGTACTTGTAATCAAGCTGTTATTGTTTAATGATGCAATTCATTAGAATACGTTAAATGCTATATTTGTAAGAATCAAAATCATCCATAACCATCCATTAAATATTCAACAGGCGAAATGGAAAGTAGCGGGGCTTATCATAAGTAAACTAATGAATAACACTTAACTTATTAAAAAAAAAGTTGAGTAGGGTATTCAACTCCTTTTCCTTTTTTTTTTTTTTTTGAAGTGCTAATGTTTGGTTGAGTGAAAGTGACGAGGTCTTTCGCTCGTTGTTTCCGCTTTCAAGCTCTTTTTGACCCTCTCCTGATAATGGTATCCCCATTTAGCATAACAATGGTCAATTTTGAAATAAGTTGAGGCCATATTTTTTTTAACGCTCATTAAGACGCATATTATGCAATTGTCGACAAGACAACGAAGCATATTTGTTCCAACGCCAATGTCAGAGGTGTGATTTAATTGTTTGCGCTAATTTAAAGTTATTAGCAGAACATTTGTAACTCGCTTCTTACTCCCTATGATTTTCTATTTAGTTGATTTTTTTACCTAAATAAAGTAATATATATCTTTAATTTTTTTTTCAGAAAATGTAAAAAGAAAATAAAGGGTTTTCCGATATTAGTACTTTAGATTGTGAACATTTTGAACTAAGTTCCTCAAATCATTGAAAACTGCTATTAGATCCCGCAATTCTTATATCTTGAACAATTGCCCTTGATTCGAGGGATTAATTTGAATAACTTATAAGAATCAAGGCGTTTAACAGCAATTCAACGATTTAAAGGACTAAATTCAAAAAAAAAAAACTTATAATTTCAAAATATTCAAGATTCAAGAAATTAATATCCTAAAAAAACCCTAAATAATAAATGTTATATCGCGAGACATGGTGCGAGAACCGAAAAGAAACCCTCCATACGCCTGGCATCACTCCCATGCCTATCCAGTTGGAACATTGATCTCTAGCTCAGGTTGTTTTCATTCCGAGTGTGACTGATGCTATTTTGAGCACAAAACAATTGATGATTTTGATGATGACATTGCACTCACAGGTGATTGTTTACAGTGGCAACGACCTTGGATGGCAAATTCACCCCTAACTCAAGCCACTAACCACTTCTTCACCAAATCATCTTGCTCACATCATCAAAATCATCTCAAGAGCATACAAATATCTGGCATTTGGCCCCTATGTGAGTTGCAAGAAGAGTCAGTCGATCGATCGCATATTGGCTAATCGTGCTTTTCACCGATGAACTTTGGTCCGAAGTGTGTGATTCTTCCTTGGTTCTTGCAACCCCAGAATTCTCAAGCTGGTTTTGAGATGTAGACCTGTCACCCCTTGTCTTCACCTCAAAAAAGATTACAAACCCTTTTGCCTTCACTGTTTGGAAAACAATGTGTGATGGGATCTTCAGGGGTACCAAAAAGATCGCCTGCTATCGCACTAATTCTTGCGGAGGTCTTTGCACGACAACATGCACGTAAGATGTTGGGTTATTAGTGCTTGTTTGTTAGGAATTCATGATGATGCTGTGTCAAAGAGCAATGCTGGTGTTAACCTTTCAATGGAGTACAGAGGCGAAGGGACTGATATACAAGGGAAGATCTGATATGCAAGCTTCTTGGAGATTGGGGAGCTACCTGCAAGTTGAGGAAACTAATAAGGACTTAATAAGAGTCCAGCTCAGCAAGAAAATAACCGTTCAAGTCCAGCTCAGCTGAAATATTTGTTAGGAATTCATGATGATGCTGTGTCAAAGAGCAATGCTGGTGTTAACCTTTCAATGGAGTACAGAGGCGAAGGGACTGATATACAAGGGAAGATCTGATATGCAAGCTTCTTGGAGATTGGGGAGCTACCTGCAAGTTGAGGAAACTAATAAGGACTTAATAAGAGTCCAGCTCAGCAAGGAAATAACCGTTCAAGTCCAGCTCAGCTGAAACAGTTATTTTCTGTTTTGGGTTCGTTACGCTGGTGCACGTGCACAAACAGTGCATTTTCTTTTGAGCGTTTCTTTTGAGAGGAAGATTGGATTGTATATATAGAGTGTTGTAATAAATCATAAAAGATAGGTATGAAAAGAGTTCTATTTCCTCTCACTCTAATCTTTGTTCATCTTCTTCCCTAATTCTCTCTCTTAATCTCGCAGTTCTCTCTTTCGTTCTCTCTTCTTCAAGTATCCAGGTTCCTCATGGCTAGGAATAGTTCATCAAGGATCAACAGAGGCTCTAGAGCCTCACAATTGGTATCAGAGCAGCTAGAATCTGAAGGAGTTCCTGTTGAGGATTCTAGGGCTGATCACGAGGAAGTTCCTGGGGATGAAGTAAATCAAGGTGAAAGGGTTGCTCGGATGGAGAACGAGATCAATCAACAGAGATCCCTCAGTCAACAAATAGCTGCACAGTTGAGAGAGATATCCTCTCAATTGCAGGAGCTCAAGAACTCCAAGGACGTGATGTGTTCTCAATTGCAAGAACTCAAGAACTCCATGGATGTGGATAAAGGAGCAACAGACAATGGATTGAGGAGCGATTCAAGAACCATGGGTTCAGGATCAAGAAGTGAACGTGGAATTCTTGGATCAGGCAACAGGAATCAAGCTCATGATTTCCAGCAACCACAACAGGGGAGGTTTGATTCCAATGGTGAATTTTCATTAACACATAATCTTGGTAATTCCTGGAATCAACAGAATTCTTTCTTTAGTAATCAGAAGCTAGTTCAACCAAAGTCTTTAAGATTAGATTTTCCATCTTTCTCTGGTAATAAAAATGTGATTGCATGGTTAGAGCAAACTGAACAAAATTTTGATTACTATGATATCAAGGGTGATGAGTGGGTCAAGGTCTGTTCATTTTATTTGAGAGATGAAGCTCTACAATGGTATAGGTGGATGATTAGAAATATTAAAGATTACAATTTATGGGATGTTTTTAGAGAAGAATTTATCACAAGATTTGGTCCCAGTGAACTCTCAAGGCCTTATGATGTCTTCTCCACCATGAAACAAACCTCTACAATTAGAGAGTATTTAGGGAGGTTTGAGCAGACTTTGGGATTGTTAGATGACCAACCTTCCAGGAGACACATCATTGAAAGGTTCATAGGGGGGCTTAAAGAAGAATTGAGGTATGAAGTGGCAGCTGCTAGGCCATCCTCTTTGAAAGGGGCTGTTTCCTTAGCTAAATTGTTTGAAGAAAAACAAAAGAGTGATAGGAGACCCAGGGGAAATTGGAATTCCTTCAATTCAGGTGGTTCTTTACATAACTCTTCCCATGATATGCCTACAAAAGATACCTCATGTTACCCTTCTCAAAAAAAAAAAATTACTCCTGAAAAAAATACATAGAAGAAGAAGTCAAAACCTGTGTTTTACTTGTGATGAAAAATGGCACAGAGGCCATCAATGCAAGGAGAAGAAGCTACTCATTATGGAAGGAATTTTAGAAGGGGGTATAGATAGAAATGGAGATGCTATTGAGGAGGATAATCAAGACTCTCTAACCTTAGAACTAGCTGAAAGTTTAGTGAAAGGAGCCACATCTATTTCCGTTCAAGCACTGAGTGGCATTACTGCATCTCACACCATCAGAATAGTTGGATACTACAAAAACCAAGCAGTTAGTATTCTCATAGACTCTGGATCAACACATAACTTCATCAATGCTAAAGTGGTTAAAAAACTGGGACTGACAGTGTCTGAATCAAATAATTTTGATGTCTTGGTGGCTAGTGGAGAATTGATTAAGGGAGGTGGAGTATGTCAAGAGGTGCCATTAGACTGCCAAGAAGTGAAATTTCAGATTAATTTGTTGGTCATGCCTATAGGGGTAGCCAAATTGTGCTAGGGGCTGATTGGATGAAGACCATGGAAGATATTACATTGAACTTCAAAAAATTGCAGGTCACATTTGTTAGTGAATGAATTAGAAGAGTCTTGCAGGGAATCATTCCAGGGGAGCTGCAAGTGGTTAGTAAAAAAAACCATTGTTAAAATATCAGAGAGCAGGAGGAAGGCTATTTTATTCAGTTGTGTAGTGTGAATTTGCAAGAATCATCAAAACAAGCAAGTTTAGAGGAGTGACCTGAGGATATGCACAAATTGATTAAAGAATTTGAGATAATTTTCCAAGAGCTTCCTCATCTTCCTCCTAACAGAGAGATAAATCACAAGATTCCATTAGAGGAAGGCACCAAACCTATATGTATTAGACCCTACAGATATGCACATTTTTTGAAAGAGGAGATTGAAAAACAAATTGAGGAAATGATTCAAAAGGGTGTTATTAGACCAAGTCATAGTCCTTTTTCATCTCCAGTGGTCATGGTAAAGAAGTCAGATGGTAGCTGGAGAATGTGCATTGACTACAGGTCCCTCAATAAGTCCACCATCAAGGATAAGTTTCCTATTCCTATCATTGATGAACTACTTGATGAACTTCATGGAACCAAGTTTTTTACTAAGCTTGA